GGGCGGGCGTAATGCGGGCTTGAATGGGCCCGAGACGGCACTATGCGGCGAACGCAAATTGACGCGTAGTCTGCGCAGGTCTTTGGTTCGGTTGAAAAACCGCACTCTGTGGCAAAGTTCAGCCCTACGAGCCGAAATTAATAATGTCCCTCACTCCACAGAGTCTTATCTAAGAGCCACGTCTTTTCTCCTACAAATTTCCCCCTAATAATGTTTTTCTCTATTAAGTTCCCGGCCGAGCTCGCCTCCGTTTCCCCCTCCCGAAAACGTCTCTGGACCCGTAGTTTTGCCCCTTCCCCCGGGGAGGTGTCTCACACGCCGGAACTTTTGGTGTCGCAATTTTTTGTCACCCAATCTGGACGCACTGTTCTCGGAAATTTTCCAGGGCGATATCTCTCTCTTTCTCTCTCTTTCTTTCTCTCTCTCTCTCTCTTTCTCCCTCACTCTTTCTTTCTCTCTCTCTCTCTCTTTCTCCCTCACTCTCTCTCTCTCTCTCTCTTTTTCTCTTTCTAGAAGCATTTCTTGCAGCTGCCCGAACACGTGTTCAGCGGCTTTGTTTTCGAAAACATAATTCTTCGGCGCCTTGATTGGCAGCCGGCGACGGGCGAGCTATAAACAATACCTCTGGGATTTCTGGAAGTGTTGTAGGGAGAGTCCTTGCGCGGGCGCGTGACGAATGGCCGGCAGGCGGTGTCTGTCTCCGGGCCAAGATGCAGGCGGTCATTGTTTTTCTAAGTGCGCGGGGACTCCCGAAGGGGGGTGGGGAAAGGTCTTCCCTGCGGATCCCTAGCCGATGAAAGGGCGTGCGACAGGCGAGCGCCGAGCGGGGCGGCTTGCCGCGAACGGCTCCCTATTTGGCGGGTTGTCGATGCAGCTGGCGACGGGGGGGGGGGCGGTTGGCTCGTTGAAAGGCATTCTTTGTGACAGCCCAGTCTTCATTCTTTCCGTGGAGAAAACTATCTTAATATTAAATTAATATAATAAAATTTGTTGACACCACAATATACACACATACATATATCTTTATTTACTATATTTTACTGCCTCGTATGGGCCTACCATTGAAGTAAATCTTAATTCCGTTGATAATATTTACAATTTTACATTATTTTTAATTTAATTTCTGGGCATCGGTATACTTAATGCTTCTCAGGGTACTATACTAGTTTCCTTGGGCCTGAAAATACCTCTCATACGAGTACTCGGATGGTAAACAATTTAATTATCGTTAGGAAATGTTTGTCACTACTGTTAGTGATCAGTTAAACAATTTACAAATTTTGTTTATGAATTGCCTGTGACAGTAAGTGTCAGCTGCCACAATTAATTTATTTCAAATTTCTTTTTTTTATTTTACCATTCAACAATTATTTTTATTTCTCTACTGCTTCTGTTTGATGGCCTTCGTATTTCTACAAACAAATCACACATAACAATTCTTTCTCAATCTTAATGTTAACGTATTATTTAAACATAACGTGGCCTTGCTATAATATTTTTATTAATGTCTTTCTGTCACTTATTGCCTAAACTTCCCTTTTGGAGAATTTACAGCAATCTTGGCGTTGTCAATGATGTCAGCAACTGTTCCATATTTCCACCTGGAGCTCTTCTTACGTTCATACTGAATTTCAACTAATAAATTTCGACTCTTATTCACAACCTAATTATTTCTCAAATGGTACAGTCTTTTCTCTGATAAATTGCATTTAAATTACTTCCCTATTCTCCCATACACATGGACAACATGTCCATTTTCTATCTCCTCAGACTAATTACAAAATTATTTCAATTTATGCCCTGACGGCCATCGATGCTTCCTCTACCAAATCCAGAATAGTTCTATCATAAAATATTTCTACCCAATGTCGTGATGGCCATCGAACCTCACCCTACCAAATCTGACATCATTCTGACTATAATTGTTCACTTTCATATTCTATCTGGCCTAACTGGTTCACTTGTTTTATTGTTATATGTTTACCTCAATGTGCTCTTACTGCTCCGTAACCAAGCCTTGTGTGTTTTGTCCCCTATCAACAATGACCTATAATATTTATTTGTCCTATTTCAAAAAAAAAATTCTTTAATTTCCCAAAATTTACTTAATTTAATTAATATTTGGATTTTTTGACAACTCATACTCTCAATGTATCATTTTCATTTGTGTCATTGCGCAATTTCTTATATTTCTCCAGCTACTTGACATTAAAGTTTTGCTTATAAATGCCAAAAATCCCTTTAAGTATTTTGCCTTAATATTTAAAAACCAGTTGACAGGAAAATAGTAGGTGCCTGCCTGCCCGCCCCTCCATCAGATAATATCTCAACCAGAACAACAACCAAATCTCCCATACCCGAATGAACTGTACCAACTTGAAATCCACCTTCCAAAGTTTCAGAAATGTAATGCTTACAAATGGTCAGGTTAGTTCTTGATAACGGGTTATCTCTGAAGACCTGATGGTCTGCAAAGAGAAAATGTTAAAATCTGTAAAAGAAATTGTGCCCATCTAATTTCTCAAATAATTTAGGAAGAGATATAGTGAAGACAGAGATAGGGAGGTAATTAGAGGCTTTGGATTTATCATTAGTCTTTTGCTGACTTTTTCAAATTGAAATTACCCTGCTCTTCATACATAATGTAGAAACAATATCAGTACTCTCTGATTAGTTGAACAATATTCAGGATGGATATTAGAAAGCTATTTATTTACACCATTTCAAAAATGTTTTACATATAAAGTGTCATGTTTTTAATTAGTGTAATAGCACTGTTATAGCCTTATAAATATTTTATGTAAATATTAGGTATATGTTAAATTATAAAATAACAAAACTTGAATTCCATTCTCTGTCAAGCAGAAAATGACACAGTGGTGGCGCCAAATTCTGGATTTAACATATCCAATGACATCTATGTTTTCTGGGCGTGATTTCAACCATACCATTCATTCAACTTTTGGTGATACGCACATTGAGGATCTCTGGTTACCATATTTTTCTGTTACAACAGACATCACAGCAAGTTGTATGCGTGTTCACACTCATGGTAAGTCAAGTTCTTATTACATTTTAGAGATTTTTTTCATAGAAAAAACAAAAGCTGCAGAACAGATATTTGAGCTTGTTAATACCGATTAATAAAAAAGTATTTTGTTTTATATTTAACAATATATTTTTTGTAAACAATAAAATCTTGAAGCCATTGCAAAAAGTTTGAATGTTAATTAATTTGGTAGAAAATTTCTTTTGTTGTAATAATAGTAATTAACTGATATGAGTTCATATGAAGGAAAAATACATAGACAGTCTTGTTACGTGAAACATGGTAGCATCCAGGGGAGGGGGTAATGGTATAGTGCCCAGTTCACTGGATATTTTCTTATAAAATATTTTTCATTTATGCTGACTGTACATTTTATTTGTATTTTCATTTGTTAGTGTATCCTTAAAATTTATAAGGTAAACAATTGATTGATTGATTTCATTAGGGCAGAAAATTAGTAAATTAAAAATTTGTAAATGTATTTTATCATAGTGTAAGTTTTTCTTAAGGACTATTTCTTTCTTGTTATGAATTAAATAATCCACAAGTATTTGTAATTTGAAGCTTTGTATGTAGTGCATTCCACATCTTGTCAACCAGATTGTATCACAATTCAGTCATATTTTCATTTATTCAAGCAACATTGTGTCATGTAACTCTCTAAAACACGTTCAGAACAGTGACTTAGAATACACAAACATTAACTAATGAGTATGGAATACTGCTTTCTGTTTTATTTATAACTACGTGACCTCTGACTCATAATTTATTTTAGAGTAATATTACATTATTTCATTACATTACGTAACTACATGACCTTCTAAGTTATAATTTATTGCAGATCCATTGCCTCTTATAGTGAAATATCGGGTCTGTCAGAAAAAAACATGGATGTGTTAGTTCTCATTGCACCCATATGGTAACACAGAACAAAATCGGATTATTTGTCGATTTATTTTTCACTAATCATTCTTCGCATATCTTCAGGTTGAAAAAAAAAATTTTTTTCAAAAATCACCCAACCCACTGGGTTTATTTAGATTTTGTTGGGTTGTATTGCGTTTATTTGAGTTATGTTGTGTTAAATTGTTATTTTTTAGGGGTTTAATTGAAATTGCTTTAAAATTAATTTTTATCAATTAAAAGATGAATTTCTATTAATTTAATTGCATTAATTTATATAAATCTAAAACTAACATACTTTGTATGTTTCATATCATATCTTTGTAGTGTCGTGGAAAATAACGTATTTTGATTAAAATGGAATTTTCCAAATACAACTATATTTAATTAATGCATGCTAACCAAAATCAACACAAATAGCTATTATAAATTTTGCAAATGAGTTTTGGTTGTACATCCCTATATATGCTCTGATCAAAATGTTGCTAGCGTTGTCAAAGACAAAGATTATTACCCATCGTCGATGTTTTCTGATTAAAATTATTATAACATTTATATTTGTATAAAAGATTTCATATTTTTCAAGTGGTATTTTTGTGAGCTTTATTTTTTTTAAATGGGTTTTATCTAAAAAAGAACGGGTGATGTGTTTTTTTTTGGGGGGGGGGAATTGTGCTTAACTTTGGAAATCTTCCAATATAAAGTTAGTGTAAAAAATGAGTGGACACTTACGAATCTTTCTGTTTTGGGTTTGGTGGTAACTTTTAAGAGGAATTTAAGGACATAAACGAGATAAAACAATCTTCACAACAAGCAAGTTCTTCCTATATTTCCACAAAAATTGTTTCACAAAGCAAAACAAATACCTTGGTACTGACAAAAATAAACACTCGCTGAAAAGGGGCACAAAAAGTCTTTGTTCACTTATAGTTCTAATAAACATACTTGGTAAAAGAAAAGAGGTGCGAGTATTTTGTGTGATTTCCCTTGGCACGAATAACGTATCCTAAGTCTTTGTGGCATGGAATTCACAAGATTTTGCCCAAGTTGAAGAGAAATATTACTTTATTCTATTTGTAGTGCTGTCGTATTTCTGTTTTGTTTTGCATTTTTCCTATTTCTAATTTTTCTCTCCATAAAACTCCATAAATGACTTGAGAGTTAAATTATTTTCGTATATTGCAGTAGCGTAACGAAAAGCGTACGGACTCGGCCGCAAAACTTATCCGGGCCCTTTATAAAAGTATTTAGCAAACATTTAGTTTTAGTACCTTAAATTATAAAAATATCCTTTAACAAACTTGTATGCATTAGCTTCTGATTATTACAGAAGAAATCAATGTCACCGATAGATTATAGTAGGCCGTCTTTTATTTTTGGGCCTGCCCTCCTCATTACGGATAGGGACGTACCGATTTAATTGAATCGATTGATTCTTTACTTTCGATGCCTTTGCTTCCAATTCTTAATCAAATCGATTTCAAAAGGCCGGAATCAAATCAAATGAATACCTTCGATTTAAAACAAATCACATATTCTTGCGCTTTTGCTAATTTTTTTAGATTTTTTGTCGTTAATAATAAATTATTAATTATAGGAGACTATGCCGTATTTGAATTCTACGTCCGACGATGACTCCACCTTTCGCTTCGTTCAAGTCAAACAGTTTGGTTCAAGTTACATTTGTAACACCCCAATTTTAAAAAAATCCTTTCTGGAAGGGTTTCTTGAAATCATTAGTTCATACTACTGTTGGTTATAATGTATTATATTTTTCATTTATCTTCTATTAATACATTGGCTCATTGATACATTACATTACTTTATTTCAATTGTATTATTTCATCAATAACATTTTTGACCACGTAGTTAATAATAATAATAATAATAATAATAATAATAATAATAATAATAATAATAATTTTTTTTATTATTATTAAAATGTAATTAGCACCTGGTTGTGTTTAATTAAATAGTAATTGCTCGATTTCGGACTATATACGTTCGTTGAACGGTGTTTTACTTGATTTGATTCCCTAGGGAATCGACCCTTTTCTTTCGATTCAATTGTAGAATCGACTCCAACTTTTCGATTCTGAAATCAATTCTTTTACAGGAATCGAACGTTACGCCACTAGTGTATTGTACAATACGGAGTTTGTGCCCCCTCGAACGTTAAAGCAATCGAAAGCACTATCGATATTATTAACGTGTGAAATCGAGAATGAGCTTTCGGATGATTAGGTCGAAACTTGTAAGTCACAATGGAAGAAGTTCCAAAAGTGGCAGACTGTGTTGCTACCGTGAAATTGTCATCAGTTATTTTGGTTCCTGTAACTTTATTTGAGACTTTTGTAATTTTTTATTACTTTTTATACAGATATATGTATATGTATAAACGTGTGTGTGTGTGTGTGTATGTATATGTGCATGTGCGCGCGCGCGCGTGTGTGTGTGCATGTATTCTGACGGAAGGTGGTGTATTGTCTGCTGGATTGAATGCTCGTATCGAGCTTTGTGATCTCAGGGGCCAGGATCTTTAGGATGGGAGAAAGTTCTCCAAAATACAGAAATAGGCAAATCAATGCATATATTCTTCAAATTATAAAACAATTTACAACGGTCACTGCACCGATACAAAACCAGATGACAAACAACTCTTTCAAATATATCCCTAAGAAATGAGATCACCCGTTTGCATTGCTTTGGAAATTACAAACACTCCTTCAAATTATTTAGGGCCGGTTGTTCGAACGAAGGATAAAACTGCGGTTAGTAACACTTAAGTATTGCTTAACACTGGGTTAAATAGGGCGACCAGTTGAACGATACTTGACTTCACCGGTGTTACATAACATAGGTGTCCATTCTCTTTTTATATTAACTATAAAATCGCTGAATATATGTGCGTGTGCTTGCGTGTGTTTGTGTGTCTATCGCCAGCACTTCTCGATACGGTCCCGATCATGTGACATCTTGCAGCACGACCGACAGTGTTGCGAAATGCCTTGAGACAAACCCTCACGCACCAAGAAATAAAAACACCAATCTATCTCCAAGGTCGACGTTAAACCGTTTTTCCATTTTCAAAAGGATGTCCTTATTTGGCAAATACAGATAAGCAACTGAGCAAGCAACCAAATGCGCCACAACACTTCAAAAACAACAACAACAACGTTGGAACATGCTTTTCTGAACAGGGGTAGGAAAGAAAAATGCAAGTTTGAACATGCGCTTGGCGTTATCATATGGGTGCAACGGGAACTAAGAGGTTTAGATTATTGTGATAAATATTTACCCTGGCAACGCTGGATATTCACTTGTTAAAATATACGTCAATGGCGACTATGTACGAGTACCTTGCCTGCAGTGTGATGTGGATAAGGTGCGATTATTGGTAATTCCAGAATTAGCCGATTAATGTTTTCGTTATCCAAATTAGGTGGATAAAGACCGTTGGGGGAACGTTTCGAATCTGTACAGAGAAGGGGGAAGAATACCCTCGAACGGGGGAGGGGGGCGCTAACGGACTGAAAGGTCCTTCTCTATACAAAGTATTGTATACACCGCACCGGGCCGTGATGTGCCCGAGGGGGAGAGGGATGGCGCTGGTTTAGAAGGGGGGCGGAGGATGACCAAATTACACGAATTTCATTGCACATACGATTTATTGATATTAGATTTCTAGTCAACGTGAATGGGATTTATATGATAAATGTTAATTTACAGAAATGAAATTGACTGAATGATATAAAATGGAGGTTCGTTGTTACGTCTATGTTAATTATCACCGTGAAGGTGACGTCGTGAACTTAGTCGCACTACACGTCCATGGGCACACGACGTTGCCGAATGCCCTGGCTGGGTGGCTGCGGCATACGTGGACCTCAGAGCTGCTCCCCTCCCGGACGAAGCGGGAATGCAGGCGTCCATGCAGTTCGCTGGTCGGAGACTGTCCAGCAGCTTGGCCATGGACCTGGCCCTAACAGGGCCCTAACAGTAGGAGTGTGTGTTTGCGGCACACACAGTCTCTCGCCAGCAGGTGACTGACGGTGTGAGTCAGGTCAGCCCGTACCGATGTAGTACCCGCCGATGACAGG